ATTAGGCAAAACACTCACACACATAAAATAAAAATACTCTTTTAAAAAGAAAGCATCCCAGCATTCATGAGGCTGAGGCCGGAGGATTGTTGTGAGTTTGAGCCCAACCTGGGACATAGAGAGTTCTAAGCCAACCAGGGCTACAGAGTAAGATGACAGAGATATATATATATATATAGAGAGAGAGAGAGAGGGAGAGAGATAGATGGCACACATATACACATTCAGAAGACTGCCATAGGCTTTGAGCTTTTACATTTTGCTAAGTAAGGAAGACAATGAGGGAAAAAATCCACCTTCACTATCATTTTATAAAAAGTATTTCAACACCAAAATGCAAAAAATGACAACACTGCCATAGTACACTAAGACCTCTTTCTTTTGCCATTGACAGACCAATGAAGAAACTTAATATCTTATACAATTGAAGTTTCCTCTTACAATTTTCTTGCTCTATTAAGAAAAGGGGAGAGAATAGAGGAAAAAAAAAGAAATACTGGGGACTCGGGAAAATTAATGTTGTTATCTTACATTTGAAAATCCATTTTGTACAGATGGATTTTCTCCTTTAAAGGCACACTGAACAGTGATGTCTTACAAGACAGGGTTAAATAGGCCAAGAGAATAGCTCAGGGTAGTGCCAGCCTCATCTTTGGCATTCAGTGACAGTTTATCTGGGAAAATATGGGTAAACAGAATGTCTACTTGTTATTTAACATATTGTTCTCCAAACCATATGAAAAATGTTGAGAAAATGTACACAAATGTTATTACTTTTATGTGTATGAGTGTATTGCCTGCATATGTGTAAATGCACCCATGTTATGCAATGCCAGAATGTCAGAAGTGGGTGTAGGATTTCCCTCAAATTAGAGTTATCAATGGTTGTTAACCACCATGTGGGTACTGGGAATTGAACCTGGGTCCTCTGCAGGAGCAGCCAGTGATCTTAACCACTGAGCCATCCGTCCAGCCCTCACGAATGTTATTTTAAAGCAGCGAGAATATTTTTCTTTTTTCTAAACATTGTGATACACACATACACACATATGCATACACACAGATGTGTACTTGTTGGTTTTTTTTGGAGGGGTTGGGGAGAGGCAGGATTTGAGACAGGGTCTCACCATGTAATTCAGGCTGACCTTGAACCTCTTGCCTCTACCTCCTGAGTGTTGGGATTACAAGGATGTGTCACAAATCCCTGTTGTGAAAGTTACATTTATTATATAGCTTATTATACATTTATTTGTTTGGGTGGTGCTGGGGATTGAACACAGGGCTTCGTCAGGAAAAGTACACTATCTCTGGGCTAATCCCTAGGTTATATGATTTAACAGAAAGCAAAATAAAGATTTTGATGGACTTTTAGCTTCAGGTATAACTGAATAATAAAGGAAACAAAAAGCAAAGGCAGGCCAGGTTAAACCCAGTTTTCCTTCAGGAAAGGACATAATGAAAGAGAACGCTGCCATGGGTGCAATGTGTCTGCACAGGCAACACTTCAAACCTGATGACTAGTATAGGGAACTCTCACAGGTACTTTTATGTGCTTTCCCACTGCTCAAAGGATACTTTAAGCATCATATAGAATTTAGGTAGAGATTCTGCAGGCAGGCTTTTATCATCAAAATATCTCTGGTTAGAACTCTGAGAATCAAAACAGATTCTGATATATCTAGAGTTCAGCTCATAGAACCAACTTTAAAGGATACAAAACTGTTATTACTTGGGTGTTTTTGTTTTTGAAAGGCTTTAATTTGGTTCTTTCTTCAGCAAACAACTACCTAAAATCATTTATCTGTCTCTGCAGACACAATGGTCACCCCCTGAGAACAGGCACAAAAGTCAGGCCAAGGACAATGATCTTACTGGCCAAGGAAGGCAGGAAAACTCAAGAAACACACTTTTACCTTACAGGAAAACAAAAAACAAAAAACCCAAGAAGCACACTTGTACCTTTTTCTAGTAAAAGAATTATATGCAGCCACTTGGAAACATTTCTTTGTACTAAATCTGTGTCGATACTTTGAAGAGAACAATTCCTCCATCCCCAGAATAGTGTTCCCCACTCATCTTGTGCTTCCCACAGTAATTTCCTCAGCATTAAGTCACGTTCAATGTCAGAGATCTCTGTGATCACAATCTGAGTAATTTCCTCCATATTAATAGAATATATATGAGATTGGGAGTCATCATATTGTTCCTGATAGCTTGAATATGTTTTCATTTTGTGAGTCAAATTTACAGATTCTTCTGAGAGAGACTGGATCATTTCCATCGCTGTTGGCACGGGGGTACCAGAACTTAACAGATCAGGACTTCTTATCTAAAAACAACAGTGAAGACATTTTAAGAGACCAAAGTCTTCAGAATGCAAAAGTGTTTTCCTGGCAACTACTTTAGTAAATAATCTGATTTTTAACACAATAAGGTGAGTGAAACTGGAACTATTCTTACCTTTTGACCTAAAAGCACAGAATGATTTTAGAAGAAGTTTTTTTTTTGGCCATATTTTAAGAGAAGGGGTCCTTCTGACAGGTCTTAAAGCACCCTGCCACACTCTTTGTTACCTATGTTCATTCAAAGATGAAGAAAATGCTAATTCCAGGACGAAGTTATTGAAAATAGATATGTAATATTATGTCCTATCATCACACATCATCAAGATTCAATTTTTGAATCCCAGGGTAAAATACATTGGATTGAATTATTTAGCCATGACTCCACAGAACACAAATACCTAACTGCATGACATGACACGAGACCAAGATTCAAAGACTAGCAGGAAACAAGAACGCTTACTTTATCTTTCAAATTACTGACATCCACTCGTAGAGCAATGATGCTTGCTTCCAAACTGTTCCTGAACCTGGTTATGGTTGCTTCTTTATTTGTGGCAATTAGCTTCATAGCTGTTTTGAGATGACCAAACTTGACTGAAATGATTTTGTATATGGCAACTTGTTCTTCAGAAACAGGAATCTGGTAATGCCTTACAAGAGAGTACAGCTGAGAAGCTGTTGCAAACTCTCTTTCTAACTCAGCTATTTTTGAGGAAATTTCATGCAAAAAATCAAAGAGTTTCACAAATTCATCTATTTCCACAGGCTCATAGTCCAGTTGTTGCAGCGAGGCCTCCACAATCTGAAATTATTGACAGGAAAGCCATAATCATACAGTAAGTTTTCACGATTTTAGAAGGCTCCCATTTTTAAGTTAGAATTCTTGCTTCCATAAATGTAATTTCAGAAAAAAATAAGATACAAACTAGATAGAATTCTAAGTATTATTTAAAAATTAGAACATTAATATGATCGAATCCTTCAACTGTTAACTGAAGGCACCTGGATATATCTCACATGTTAAATAAATGTTATTAAGACATACCAAAGTACTCTATGGGTAACTTTTCAAAGAAGTTACGTATAATGTGGCTAGTGAGCGTGTGGCTGGAATACGAGGGTGCACGATCACGGCTGGGTTGAGCATTTCTGTTCCATGTTCTCTACTGCGTGCCCTCATTTGAGCCACACAGGATGCAGATTACCTCTTGTTCATCTTGTATGCACACAAGACAACGTGAATTTCAAATTAGTCTAAGACCAGATATATGGTAAGCTACAGAACAATGATTTAGCTCCTAATCTGAAATCCTATTCATTTTATGCCTAGTTATGGAATTTTTGAAATTGTATTTGCAAAAGTGAGAATTCTAGCTTAAAACAATAGTCTTCTAAAATAGTGAAAACTTACTGTATTATCAGTTTTATGTTAATAATTTCACCTTTTTAAAATCTCCATATAACATATTTTTTTGTACAACTTCCATAAAAATTTTAAAGTAACGTCATTTCTGTAACCAAATTACATGTTTTTTCCATATTTTTCTGGACTCATACTCACTTATTCACATAATTAAGGAATCAAAGTTAGTTCAATTTTCAATCTTTATAGACTTAATTCCTTCTATAGATTTTTAATTTTTCAAACACTTTATTTGATTATAAAAATTGCAATACAAAAAGTTTATAAAGTAGAAAGTCACCCGTATCTTTTTACCCAGAGATAACCACTGTTATCATCCACCAAAATTTTTACTATTATGTGTATCTGTCTCTCCACAGAATTATATGAATAAGACTTAAAATCAGAATCAGAAAGACATATTTGATTCTCAGCCAGAGTATTTTCTGTGTGAATCTAAGCAAAGAGCTTTCAGAAGCTTGGTGTCCTCATCTGCAGTTCTGAGGTTCAAACAAGATAATTTGCTAATGCATTTATAATAATGTCTGGCATATTTGGAAAATGCATTGAGCTTGGTCAGGGCAGCAGACTGAGCAAAACGAGCTTTGTCTTTAAAAGGTATATCTTAATTAAATGCCACAAATAATTTTAAAATGTAGATACAGAAAGTAGGTAATCCCAATTTTGTGTAAATCAAGAGTAGAAAAAGCTGATGTATACCCACATATATTTTATGAAATGAATACATACTGAAATAAAAAACTAAAGAGTGAAGTTGTAAGAAAAAAATATAGACCAACTTCACTTATAAGTATGAATGTAAAAACCACTTACTACACATATGCTAGTGGGCTAAATCTATCAAGTTGGATGTGAAATTTACTTTGGGAAGCTAATAATTCCATACATTAAGAAAACGAAAAATTGCAAAATTATCTCAATAGGTGTAGTTAATAAAAAGCATCTGATAAAATTCACTTATGATGAAAATTCATCAAATGAGGGCAGGAGACTTTCACCATGAAGGAAGACACCTGAGGATGTGCAACGCTTAGAAAGAGGGTAAGTAAACAGAACTTTCCAAACAAGCTCCTGGGGGAGAAACATCTCAGAGACAAATACCCGAAACAGCAGCAAACATGGTTCCTTTCACTACAGAAATGTGACTCGCAGTGCCACTTTGTACCAGGGATGTTATAGGAGCACTGTGGACAATAATAGGAGTAAAGAGAAGAGGATTCTTTAGTGACCAAACCCTTGAAGATGAGTTTGAACAACTACCTGCCTGTGAAAACACTTTCCCATTGCTAAGGCACCAGATAAGAGATCATAATACAGGTGTAATACGTTATAAGAAGGAAGAGGAAGGACTTTTTCACACTACACCACAGCTGGAAAGATCCACCATCTACTAGGGAGGAGACACCATCATAGCAGAACCCGCACACCAAACAGAACTCAGCCCAGAATAAAGCTGGTACTCATGAACTCAGCCTTTAGCTTCATCTCTGTGCCTGTCCAGACCCCATGGTACCATGTCTCAGGTCCACAGAACAGACTTGATCTTGACTGTACCACCACAGAAAACTCTTAGCATCAGGCTAGTTCTGCCAATAACCCTGTGTCTGCCTCAGTGTCAAGGTGGTCCCAGACTTCAGACCTATTTCAGGAGACCCAGTCAGTAAGATTCACTTAAATGAGTCCAGGCTCTAGGCATGCCCACTTGCTGACACAGGTACCAGGCAAGCCAGCCCAAGTACTTTAGCAGTACTTTGGCCCATGGGACATGCCAGACAGCATACCCCAAACTGATGGACAGCTGAACTTTCTCAGAAGAGTCAGTCTGGAAAGTTGGTGTTCTCAAGTATGCAGATACCAGTGCATGGCCACAAGGATTAGGAACAACCAGGGAACCCTGACATCACCAATAGGACAAAATAACATGCATTTAATCAATTCTAAGGAAATAGAGACATGTAAACTGCCTAACAAATCCAAAGTGTTTTAAGAAAGGTCAATAAACTTTAAAAAAGAAAAATTTGATAAAACGTCAAAACAAAAGGTAGCCAGAATAAGAAATTTAGGAGACAAAGAAAATCAAAACAAATATTGGAGTTGTAAAATATAATGGAAAAAACGATAGCGGTCTTAAACAGCAGAGAAGATTAAGCAGAGGAAGAGCTATGAATGAGGACGGCACAGTTCGAGCGCTATGGGAAAGAACACAGATACTGAATGTTTTGTATAATCACTGAGACCTTCAAAATCAGGTAGTTGGAACATAACTTTCCCTATCCAGACTTCTCAGGCTTTTTTCTCCCTACTGGTTCAGCTCATAGACACGATCTGGCTCTGTTCCCGTCCTTCTACTTGCAGGCTAAAAACTGCTTTAATACAAAAATTCATGTTTCCATCTGCTTCTCTTACTTCCAGGGCCACAATCCTGTACAGCCCATTATTCAACAAAGAAAAATATTTAATATATTTTGTTTAGCACTATGCTTGCTTATGGAAAAACATTAAATGTAGCATTTGTTTCTCAATCACAGCTGAATTGGAGGTTTGAGCTATAGGGAGTCCCATAATCAATGCTGGTAAACATTTTCATTCTCATGTAATTAAATCTAGCAGATAGAAACAGATACCCTAAGAGTATGCAATACAAGTGTTGCATAGCATTTTTCTTAAAATAGAAAACACATAACTTCTATTTAGTAATGATATACAACTAAAGCACCAAGCTGTCTCAGGGAAGACTAACAGTTGGGAGGGAGAGGGAGCTATAAGCTTGAATCTCACTTTTAGAAGAGGGGAGACTTTGGAAATGATGCCATTTTAAGGTCTCATTTTACTGGCAAGAGGCAATGCCATGGAGCCATCTCAGAAAGAAAAATATTTTGGTTTTTATTTCCTAGCAGAGAAACGCCTCATGAGAATCAGAAGGAATGTTACCCTTAAGGAAATTACAAAGTAAAACAGAACTCTCCAGATGAAAACCGTAAAAAGGGACGATAACATTGATTGGCTAAGCAAAGCAATGGGGCACAGCCAAGAAAAGGCACCAAAACTACCAATTTGAAAGTTAAAAATTATCCTAACTTTTTACTTTTTCTCCCACATTCCCAATTTATTTATTATTTTTATTTTGTGTGTATGAGTGTATTGCCTGGATGCATGTAAGTGTACCCGTGTTATGCAATGCCTATGACGTCAGAAGAGGGCATCAGATTGCCCTGGAACTGGAGTTATAGACTGGTTTTAGCCACCATGTGGTGCTGGGAATCAAACCCAGGTCCTCTGCAAAAACAGCCAGTGCTCTTAACCACTGAACCATCTCTCCAGCCCCAACTCACACACAATTTAAATGAAGAACTACCTTTGGGTGAGGTTCACACTAACACTTGAGAATTTTCTGGTCACTTTTAAAGTATTATAACTGAAAAAATCCAGACCCACGTAATGGTCAGCACTCTAAGCTGTGTTTAAAATGAGAGTCTGCAGTAGGGAGGGCATGTGATCAGCTGAGGTCCTTTCTGTACCCGGCAGTTGTTTTCCTGACCCCTCCAGAGCTGCAGTAGAAACCAGAGGCGGGAAGAGGCAGGAAAGGTCTTCCTTGACTGGTGATGTCTGAATTAATACAGTGAGCTGGGCAGATGACCAGAGCTGAGCCTCCTCACAGGGAGCGCTAATAGACTTCCAAGGGATTCCCCATTTGGACTCCGCAAAAGGAATTTTCTGGTGCTGTGTATCTTATTTAGGATTAGGTTAAGCTATGGAGCAAAGAAAAATGAAAACTGTGACAGATGTTTATTTCTCTTTTTAAACTGTTTTTCTTTCCACCCCACTCCAAATTTACTTCTCTTTAATTTAGAATTAGAAGTTGGCAGTCCAGGGTGGGTATGGCCGCTCTGCTCTATGAAGTCTTCAGAGGCTCAAGTTGTGTTCAGTGACCCCCTCCCCGCCCCCTGCAGTCCTCAGCATGCACTCCCCCCACTTAATTACTAAGATGAAACTCACATTGTCACAATCATGCTGAGAGGAGAATGGGGACGAAGAAATAAGAGCTGTCCGCCAGCCAGTGGTCTTTTAAGAATGGAGGCCTAGGTGCGCCTGGCAAAGGTCAACTTGTATGTGAAGAGCACACATACCACTCTGCTGTGGTACGGTGACAGGGGCTCACTTGTAGCCAAGGTATTGCATAGTTTTTCAGGGCAACTGGCGTTAGATGGGTTCAGTCTCTCTAATGTTGAGCTTTGCGTTTGAGAAGGCTAATTTCAAGCAAATATTAATCATATATTTCAGAATCATTGTATTAGTGATAAAAGTAGTATTTTTTTTTCCTGCCAGGTGTGGTGGTTCACACCTTTGATCCCAGCACAGGTGGATCTTTGTGAGTTCAAGGCCTGCCTAGTATACCAAGCAAGTTCAAGGGCAGCTGGGGCTACAGGGGGACCCTGCCTGAAAAAGACCAAAAAAAGTATTTTTAGAAATCTCTTTTCACCTTACCCTGTTGTAATTTCCCTAGCTGGCTAGCTCAGTACTCTGGCAAAAAAAAAAAAAAAAAAAAAAAAAAAAAAGGACTAAATTTTAAAAAAAGTTTAAGAAAAAGGTTTAAGAAGCAAAGCCAAGCAAACAAAAACCAACCAGACCAGGGTGATCTGTTGCAGACTCTAAAAAATGAAATTCAAACATGAGTTTCATTTGTGAGCTCCCATTGCCTGATGTGGAAGTATCTACTTAGTACCTGCTCCAATCATACCTCCTTTAATACTGAAGTAAAAAAAATCGGTGATCTGTTGCAGACTCTAAAAAATGAAATTCAAACATGAGTTTCATTTGCGAGCTCCCATTGCCTGATGTGGAAGTATCTACTTAGTACCTGCTCCAATCGTACCTCCTTTAATACTGAAGTAAAAAAAATCCCAATTCTTCTGTATGAAAAAAAAATAAAAAAATAATGATTAAAAAAAAAAAAATCCTGAGTTTGGTTGAGGTCCACTAGGCACAAAGCCTAGTGAAAAGACCACGTGTCTTTTGGTTTACAGAGGAAACCCATTTTCTTTCAGGAGGTGAGGTCACATAACTCAGTTTTGGTAATTATAAGCAATATGGATGGCTTCTGGGAAATAGCTTTAAAAGTAGAACTTGGAAATCATCCTTTTTCCTGCTTTCTTCTGCCCTGTTGACTAGAATGAGAATGTGATATCAGACAGGTGGCAACCATTTTGGATATGTGCACTGACTGTCATGCTCAAGGGAAGGCATAGTCAGCCCAAAGCAGCCAGAATTCCCAATGGCTCCATGGAGACCCAGCAGACCTGGGGTGTCTCTCTGTGCATTGCTTTCACCAGACAGAGAGATTAGTTCCTAACTTGTGTCGGCCACAGTTTTCATTTCGTTTTCTGTTATATGCAACTGAATCAAGTTAATGTTCCCCTACCACTGTCCTTTCAACCCAGTGCTTCCACAGGACTGGGGCTCCCTTTCTAGTAGCTAATATTTTCTCCTAGAAAGTTGTCCATGGTTCACCCAGGGTTTGTTAGATACTTCTACTAGTATCTTATGCTACATTGGACTCTGTATATGAAGAATGAAGCTCTCTTCTCACCGTTATGTTCTGAGTCCCAATTGATGGCTAGCATAACAACGTTACATTTGAAAAGTATCTGTGGTCTGGCTGAAGAAAATGATAAATGACAGCTACTATCATAAATTCATATCCTTTAGCAGGTCTGGGGTACAACTCGGTGTGGGTATAGACAATGGTTAGCAGGTCTGGTGCACAACTCGGTGTGGGTATAGACAATGGTTAGCAGGTCTGGGGTGCAATTCAGTGTGGGTATAGACAATGGTTAGTACACTAGGCAACATATTCATCCTAGAAACTTAAGTCTGTTTTCAGATGTTCTTACCTTCTCAGTTCCCTACAGAAACTCCAAATGACTGCAGTCTTAGAGAGTTGCCCTCCTAAAAGATCTGTCCCCAAAGACAGCCCTAGGACACAGTGAAACTCTGATACGCATTAGTATTCAAAGACTTACCTCAGATTCTCCATACCATGGTGGAGCTTATGTTCTAGTGGAGGGCATGGTGAACACACAAGTGTATAAAATAACATCACGTTAGACCAAACAGAGATGGAATGTGGTATGGGATCACAGTTTTAGATGTGATTGTAGAAAGTGTTGAGGAAAGGAGATTTAATCAAAACCATGAACCACTGGGGAGAAGGCTCAGTGGGGTAACGCATTTGCCATCCAAGTGTGAGGGCCTGAATTTGGATTTCCCCAAACCCACATAAGGCCAGACACAACAGCATGCATGTCTGTAATCTCAGTACTCCTGTGGCAAGATGGGATACAGAGAAAAAAGAATTCCTAGAAGTTCACAGGCCAACTAGCCTGGCTTACACAGTGGCGAGCAAGAGACCCTATTTCAAAAAAGGTGAAAGGCAAACCCATGCCCAAGGTTGTCCTCTGTCACCATAGCACACGCTCCCACACTCACACTCACATATACACATACACACAAATATAAGATGGAAAACAAAAGCAAATATAGTAACATTACTTTGGAATTTTCTGAGGATAATAGCACGTGTATTTGAGTGTATAACTTAGTTATAATCTGATCTGAAATACTTTTATGAAAAAGGAAAATTTTAAAGACTTACTTTCAATAGATAAGCATTTTTTTCCTCAATTGCAGATCTTAACATGTTGTGGCTCATTTTTATGACGTTATCAACATATGGTAAGCATTCCAATTGATAATTCAAACTTTTAACACTAAAAATACCAATACGCATCTCAATAGTCATAGTTACAATCTGTCTTAGGTAGTTTCTGAATTTATGTAGTATAGTTTTAAACTCTGATGAAGTTAAGTTTTCCATTGATGGCATTTTTATACTCATGACTTTGGCTTTTTCTACCATGGTACAATACTTTAGAAACATGCAGCTGTAATCATTAACTAGGGCCATTGATTTACCAATAATGGTCAGCAGACTCACAATCTGTAAACAAAAATGTTAAAAAATTACTCAGAATTTTTATTATGGGATTGAAAATTTATGGTTTAATAAACTAAGTTTCTGTTAAACAGTCTTTGTGCAGTTCATTTTGTTTAGAACTGCTATTAAGTATCAAAATATGTTGGAAACAAGACTAAGAAATTTAGATAGCTAAAATGACATTTATGCAAAGGCTTATTTGGTTATTTCACTTTGTAATTAAGATGCTATTTTGAAGTATGTACTGTAGAGATCAATTCTGTTCACTGCTTGTCACCCCATTTTTGAAGGATTTGCTCTATACAGAGCCCAGAGAAGGCCTAGATATTTATTACCTCATCCAATTCCCAAGACACAGCTAATTTGGATAGGGGAGAATACAGAGCCAAGCTGAGACAATTATATTCTATTCTGGATTTGGACAAAAATGTAGTTAGATGGTAATGGAAGGGCTGGGGAATGGCAGTCAACACACGGCAAGCCTATGATAGTAACAAAGTCATAAAGGAGAAAGCTCATTTTCACAGTGGAAATTGGAAAAAAAAAGCTATGATTTGAGGCACTATGGGGGAAGACAAGTGGAGAGAGAAACTGGAATGGTTCTCCACTTGCCATGAATTACATGAATTAGGGTAGATTCTCCACCTGCCATGAATTAGGGTAGATTCTCCACCTGCCATGAATTAGGGTAGATTCTCCACCTGCCATGAATTAGGGTAGATTCTCCACCTGCCATGAATTAGGGTAGATTCTCCACCTGCCATGAATTAGGGTAGATTCTCCACCTGCCATGAATTAGGGTAGATTCTCCACCTGCCATGAATTAGGGTAGATTCTCCACCTGCCATGAATTAGGGTAGATTCTCCACCTGCCATGAATTAGGGTGCTCTTCATTTTTCAGTAAATCAATTTCATGTAATACATTCAGTGGGGCTCAGCTTCCTAACAATCACTTCCAAAGATATACTCTCTCTAAACTTACTTTGTTTTGGTAGTGAGAATCCTTTTCAAAAAGGATCTGAAAATCTGGCCATCTCGTCTTCTTATATTTGATGATACTTTCTGTTCCAGTAGACAAATCCCGAGATGAAAGAAAATCAATAAAGGTATGCAGGCGAGGATCTCGGTGAAGAGGAATAATTGTGGCTAAAACATAAGCATTCAGAAATTAGTAT